CTGTCTGGATTGACCAGAATGCAGAGTTTATATACAATGTTGAAAAATATTTACAATTCCTTGTTTTTACCATTAAATCTTCGATTAGCGGAAACGGATGTGATTGAGGAACTACGATTTTATTTAGGTCACGAAAATCTATGCATAATCTACATTTTCGTCCTTCTTATTTTTTATGAGCCAATGTTACTGGAGCTGAAAAAGGACTATAAGACTCTTCAATAAAATTTTTCTGTAATAATTTTGATACTTGCTGTTCTATTTCTTTTTTATCTTCAATACTACACCTGTATGGTCGTTTACTACAATATTTATCTACTTGTAAATCAATATGGGCTTCATATCCTTTCACCGTGCCTATGTCGTACTTATCTTTAGCAAAAAGTGTTTTATATTTTGAAATTATTTTATTAATTTCAGATTGTTGCTGAAAGTTTAGATGGTTTACTGAGATGTTGAAGCATGTCGTTTTTATATGTTCATTGAAATTTATTTTATTTTTACTTCCATCTTTCTTGAAATCTTGAATTGTTTGTCTGATTTATAATTTTTCATTTTGACATAATTGAAATGCTCTTATACAATCTAATCCAATTAAAAAATCGTAATCGAAATTTTCTTTATCTATAACAAAAACATTAATATATTTTTCAATTTTAAAAATTTTCATCTTTAAAGTCATTATTCCAATTTTCACACCATTAATCGTTTTTAAATTTTCGTATTTATTATTCGTTAATTTTGAATTTATTGACAATAATTTTGAATTTATTAAAGATACATTTGATCCTGAGTCATAAATTCCTAAAGTTTCTAAAGTATCATTTATTGTCAATTTTATTTTGATTAATGGTGGAATTACAAGTTTTTTGGACAAGTTTCAATTAACTGGATTTCTAATTCAGAATTGTTAATGCTTTTAATGTGGTCTCTTCGTGGTCGATCACTGTTTTTGTTTTTGAACCAACACCGTGATTCTGGATGATAGCGAGTTCCTTTTTCTTCTTTTTCACAAATTTTGCATGGCCGCCGGTCTGTGTCATGTTTCTCCTTAATGTTGCTTTTAAAACTGATAATCTTTTTTTCAAAATTTCTTTTTTTTACTAAATGCTCTAAACCTCGAATATTATTAAATAAATCTTCAGTTTCTTTTAAATTATCTCTATCTATTTTATCCGCTATAAAATATATATATTAAAATCAATGAGGGTTTGTTTATCCATTGATTTATTTAATTCTAATAATAATCTTTCTTTTTTTTGTGCATATGCTAATAATGATGAGTCTTGTTTGTGTTTAAATAAAATTGCGTACCGGACTGGCGACCAACCTTTGTCAGCATAGGTTTCACAAAAGTTTTTTTCCACATCCACCAATCTGAATTTACACTATACTTTATTAGCATAGAACTGTACCAGTCCATGCACGTTTCCTCTAAAAATAACCTCAGAACCTCAATTTTTTTGTATCTTCATCTATTCCTAAACGAGCACATTCAGTTTCAAAAATATTCATCCATTGAGAAACATTTAATGTTTTTCTTGAAAATTTATCTATTACAAATGTTCTCGTTAGGTTTCCTATATGTTGAGGTTTATTTATTTCCTTGGTCATTTCTGTAAAATTCTCCAATATTTTTGACAGTGTTTCTTCAGAAATTCCAGTCGTAGCTGTCAGTTTCGGTGTTTCCGCAATAATTTCCTCTAGTAAATACCCATTTAACTGCATATTTCCATTTTCATCTATATAAACATTTCTTATTTTTGGTGTTAATGAAATCCATACTTGTCTTTTTTCATGTCTTCTTTGTAATGTAGTTTTTACTTTCAGAAAGTTTCAGTTTTCATAATTGTCTCATGAAATTTTACCGGCTGAAATTTATCCGAAATTGCAAATATGCGGTTGTTCATATCCGTAATTGAGGTTATGCATATTACATTTGTTTTTGGATCTTCGTTCGATGTTACTATGAATTCAAATTTCAATTTGTCCATGGTTCAATAGCTGTAGAATTGTTGCTTTTTAATAGAGTTCGGCATATAACAACTAAATTGTGTTGCTCTGAAAAAGAGAAACGATTTTATTAATAAAAAATAATAAATTAATTAAATCAATTTAGCCTTAATTAAGTAAATGTTGTACCTGAAAAAGAGAAACAACAATTAAAGCTATTATATATAATAACCAATATTAACTAAGAGCTAGAAGAAATATTCAAAATATCCAAATAATTTAAACTCAAACAAAAACTTAAATTTAATCTGTCAAACGTTTCACAATTTACACAATAACGTTGTACACCATAACTCAATTCATAATGAAGTGGAAATCCTTCATTACATATATATATATATATATATATATATATATATATATATATATATATATATATATATATTACAATCACTTACAATATATATATATACATATTACAATCACTTATATAAAGCGCCCATAAAAATAAATATCTCTCAAAAGCGCTATCGAAAAAAAAGAAAAAAATAATATATGAACGGTGAAATAATGTACATTCTATCAATAAACGATATGATACAATCAATTACAATCGTTCATCGCAAATGAATAAGTTTTCAAATTCTATTTGAAATCAACAATGTTCATCTTCGACATTCTCATCGACATTGGCAGACTATTCCAGACGATTGGTCCCGATACTGCAATGTCTCTAGACGATGTCTGCAGCTGCGTAGTTGGTACATTCAACAAATTGACGTCATCTGATCGCATGCGTCTGCCAGTCAAAGACAGCGGCTTCTTTATGAATCTATCAGCCAGGTATTCGGGGAGTTGTCCGTTTATGGCCTTGTACATAATGACGCATATTTTGTAAAAAATTCGTTTATTCACTGGTAGCCAATTTCAGAATTGGCGTCACATGATCGTATTTTCTGCCTCTAACAACCATCTTTGCAGCTCTGTTCTGAAAAGACTGGAGGTCAGCGACAGAGCTTTCTGGCAACCCGTAGAATAGACTGTTGCAATAATCCAATCTCGAGTGAACAAACGCATGTATCAATGATTGTATTACAGTTTGATCTAGAGCTGAACATGATTAAGATTGTAATTTTATGTGGTCACAAAGTTTCTATTTGGTATCAAAAATACAACCCAAAATTAGATGTATGAAGAGTGGGATTGGAAATATCACATATATTATATATATATATATATATATATATATATAATGCACTATATGCACTCTATAACCTTTTTTCTTTTTTTTCTTCACTAAAATTAGATTATTATTATTATTGGTGTGTTTGTAATCCCCCTTTAAAAAGATCTCAGAGGCGCTAACGATTATTGCAGTACATACTGTACGACTGTACAATAGATGATAATGATGTTTAGTTCACTAATTATATTTCCAATAATCATTGATAATAATGACAAATGATAGTAATAAATAAGAATAATAAATAATAATAATTCACCCATCCTGATAAAACTTTAAGTTCACTCGGTCATCGCCATCATCTTCTTACTATGAATTTTAATTCGTAAGTAACTTCCTGGACTGTCGTGGATTCTATCCTATTAATAAAATAAACAAAGTTAAAAAGTAAATAGTATTTGATTTGATAAAATTTGTTTACAAATTGTTATTTTAATTTTTTAACAACACTGAACAATTTAAATCAAATGTATTGTAAATAACTTACAAAAGAATAATTGTGTTTGTTTATTCATTATTGAATGAACTTCTCACACTATAGGACGAAAGTTGATGCTACACAATCACAACCATAGTATGTGTTTTTTTTTAATATAATTATTTAAGTTTTTATTTTGATGTATGTAACTTTGATTTTTGATAAGGTTAAACTATTAAATTAAATAAATTTTTTAAATGAAAATTGTTGATTTGATTTTGTTGATATATATAAAAAAATTGGGTTGCCACAAAAATTTTTGAAATAGTAATATTTAAAATTAAAATGTGTAATGTTTTTTAGAAGTTTAATAATTTGCTGACAAAATTTTGTTTACTGATCATTATCTATATTCTACTTAAGGGCAAAACTGGAGATAATATTAGGTTTTTCCAGAATTATTTATTTTTTTAGTTGTTTGTTATATTTAATTTTAAACTTTTGATTTAAAGAAACATAAAAGTTTAATTAAGCTGATGTGATTAATAAATAGTTAATTCATTAATAAAAGGTCATACATCTTATATTTATTTAATATTTATTATATATTATTTAAATTTTAATTAATTACCTAATCTCAAATTTTAAAATGTAGGTTGAATTAGTATTTAATTTTTATACTAATTGTGCATTAAATTAATTAATTACTAATAGCAATTAGGTATAAAGGAATTGAACATTTGCTTGGATGCATTAAATTATTAGTTATTATAATAATCAATTTTTTATGCAAATTTTTTTGTTATATTTATATTTTTTTATACAACAGATGTCATTATAATTGATGCAGATAATGTACATGTACAATGCTACAGTTTATTTTCTATGTCAAATTAAATGCTATGGTCTTATTAAGTGCTATATGTAATGTAATTTAATGTGTATATTAAATATTCATTCAAACAAAAAAATGTGTACAAGTGCTATAGCTTAATTCCTATGTCTACAGATATGAATTGATATCTAGCAGTTTATCTAAACATCTACCTGGGTGCCTTATGTGTCATTATAATTTTTTTTCAATGTCTGATTTGATCTAAACTTACCATAAAAATGAATAAGTTCAAAAGATTTTTTAATCTGTTCATTGTATTTTTTGACTCTTTTTATACTTATATTTTAAATATTTTTGAATTGTTAAACTTTGAAATGAAAAATGTCCTACCTCGTGGGAACTGGGTCTCTGGACACTAATTGAAGATTGATTGATTGATTGAAACTTTAAAATGAAAAAAAGTTAAAATAATTTTTAATTTTCAAAACGTTTTTGTAAAAATGGTTTTTGTAACTTAATTGCATTTTGGTCATTATGAATTATTTCAACTTTTAGTTATACCTATGAGAGGAACTTGTCTTTTTAAGCATTGAACTAAAAATAAATAATGCTGGAATAACCCAGAACTCCTCTCCGGTTTTGCCTCTGATGAGTATAAGCTTTTTTAAAAAGGAAAAAATATGTTAATTAATAATACAGTGAAACTAAGGAATGAATGAAACAATTAGTACACAATGTTTAATATCTTAACTTTCAAGAAACACAATCAACAAAACAAGAGTAAAAGATGCACACATCCACACACAGATATATAAACACAATGAATACAAATCTAAACAAACTAAAAAATTAGAATGAATGATAGAAATTAAATTGGCGAATGCAATAAGAACTTTCTATCAACATAATAATTGTCCAACATGGTTCATGAATTTCAACAACAGACAATGGCAGGCTATTCCAATCATCAACTATTTGATTTGAGAAAAACTTTTCGCAATCTTTCTGAGCTAATCTAGAAGCTAGCTTAAATGAGTGACTCCTTGTTTTACTGAACTGACATATGTCAAAGGAGGGCATATTGATGCTGGCAACAGTTCATGGGTAATCTTATAAACTAGAAAAAGATCAGTTTTTTTCTTTACGTTAAAAATGGTAAGTCAAGTTTCTTTAACCTGTCAATGTCAAAATATTGTCAATTTTCATGCCAAACAATGAAGCATGTTGCTCTTCATGGATTTTTTTCTAATTTATCAACTAAATCCATACAGTATAGATTCCAAACTTCAGATCCATATTTTAGGTGTGATCTTACAAGGGATTCATACACACACATAAATGCAACTTCGAATAAAAATCTAAAATTTTTTGCTAAATTCCTAGCTATGATTTGACCTTGGCTATTCTGCAGAAAACCTGCTCCTTGAACTGTAGCTTGGAATCGATGATTAAACCCAGATCAATAATTGAGTTGATCTCTGGAACATTAAATAGTATGTATGCATATAATTTAGGATAAACATGTCAGATAATATATTAGAGCCAGTGCAGGGCTGTAACTTTTTTAAAACAAAATTTATGGAAAACATGAATAAATTAATAGAAGTATATATTTGTTATTTTTGCTGATTTTAAACGAAACAGCAAAGACAACTAATCTATACTTTTAACAGACACAAGTTTAAAAATGATACAAGATATTTATTAGTTATTTAAACAAAAATAAAAATAGTAATAACATTTTAAACAATATCGAATGCAGATTTCAAGTCAAAGAGGAATCAGAGATAATAAAAATAAAGAACAATGATTTGTATAATAGCTGTGTCAAAAAATGTAACGAAAATTCTGAGCAAAATTCACAAATAAGTTTTTTCTTTCTTCCACAGTTTTTGAAGTCATGTCTAGTTCATGCCCAATCTCTTTTTTTATTGACAAAATAACCAATCCTGTTAGTCGTTTTTGAGGCATACTGGATCCTAAATAATTTTCAATTTTGAAAAACTTTTTTCTACAGAGGCAACCGTAACAGGTAATGTGTGTAATATTCGAATAGTGATTTATATGTTTAGATATGCTACAAATAACTTTGTAATTTGAAGATAATTTAATATAGTTAAAAGCGACATCTGCTCCTTATTAGGAATTATCATAAATTAAAGATTTCAGTTCTTCAAACATTTCCAATTTGTTAATATCAGAATCAGAATTTTCTTTTGATAAACTAACATATAAGTTGTGAGCTTTTTCGTAATTTTTCATCAGGAAGATCTCTAATTTTTTAAACTCTTACATAAATCCAAATTTATTCTTGAATTTTTCATATAACTAAAATCTTTCTTTAAATGGTTCTATAGCCATATCAACAATTAATAAGAAGTATTCCACTCATAAGTTTTCATTTTCCAGGATTTTGTCTGTATCGCATAGTCAAAAGATTTTTTGACTTTTCTTGTACATCGTTCAATAAACTGAGTTGGAATATCTACTACGATTTGTTAGGCGTTTTAGGTACTTTCTTTATAACCATTCGTTTGAAAAACGGTTAGCTTATGATGTAGCGACATCTATTTGTACATCTTTACCTTGCAATATTTTTGATGCTCTATTAACTTCGACATGTACTTGATACTATATAATAACAGACTAGATAAAAGGATATGACTCAATTTTTTCCAGCAATGAATTGGCCTCACTCTTACTTTTGGCATCTTTTGATTCAATTGTAATTTCATGAAACATTAATATCAATTCTCGGGTTTGAAAAATTACCGCTTTTATTCTTTCCACTCTGCATTCCCACCTTGTCTCCAATAATGGTTTTGGAGTAAATGACAAATACAGCCGATGATGTTAGACAGCACTTCCTGTCCTGTCCCAAGAGTGAAATAATTTTATTTTGAGTATTTTTGCATAAATAATGAACTCTCTTGTCTGTACTCTTTGCGTGGATCATATTTGGAAATTAATTAAGTTCCAAAAAATTTTCATTTTTGGAGAAAACAAAAAGTCACAAGCTCCGCATAATGCCAGGTTATGTTCTGCAAAATACTGATTTATAGATATTATTTGCTCTAAAATATCTCATCATTTCTTTTTTCTTGATTGAACATTTTTTCAAGAACAATGAAATTTGGTTTTCTGGTTATTAATTAATTTTTTTGAGACACTCCATTTATCAATAGTGTTATTGGAACAATAAAACAGGAACAATGATTTCTAGAACAGCATTACTACTACTACTACTACTACTACTACTACTACTACTACTACTACTACTACTATAATTTTGCCAATCGCATAAACTAATGTTTCTAGCTGTCCTGTCCAGCATGAGTTTGAAACATTTTATATGGGAAACAAAAAACTTGATCTTTTGCCACTGAATATATCAGCCAAGTTCTTTCAACTACATCGCCGTTATTTAATTGTTTTTTGTAATGTATATCAGAAAAGGACCGATTTTTAAAATTTTTGGGATATGAAGATTTTCGAAACGTACTTAGACCTTGCATCAAAAAAATTTTCGCTGCGCAGATGTTAAATATTCTGGCCAGGTTCCAATGTTGTTAAGATCTTAAACTTTCATATCTGATTCAACAATTCCAGTTTCCACACCTCCTCAGTTGGCAACGACTAAATTATTTGAAAAAAAATTAATAAAAATGTTAAAACATGTTTATATAACATTTTTATTCAACTTACCACGAAATCAGTAACAAAACTAGTACTTGGCATTGATTTTGATTGTGAGTCTTCTGTTTTTAAAAGTTTATGCAAAGCTCCTTTTTGTGTTTTTATATACTCATCACAACATTTTCTTTTCTTTTTCGGCCGCGCCCATGTATTTTCTACCAGTATATTCGGTTCTTTTCGTCATTTTCTTAATAAATAATGAATATTATTATTTAAATTCATGCAATATTTAACAAGACCAGAATTCAGAAGCTTACAGAGTTCAGCAAATAAAATTAAATTAATTTGAACCACTACACACATGCAATACAAAAAAAATGGAAGTAGTAAATAGGATATAGCAATAATTAGAAACTACCGGTTATGTTAAGCTATTTGCGTTAAAAAGACAGCATTTTGCACGCACTTTACTTGACATATTTCAAAAATTAAAATGTTTAAAAGTTCTATTTTACTGCGTTTTAATGCTTCTTGCATAGTTAAAATTTGATATGTGCATTAAGGTCAATGACAATGCAGTAAACTATTCACCTTATTGTGATTTTTTTTCTTTTTTATTTAATCAATTTAACAACAACAACAACACACGTTTAGACGGCATTTTCCCCGAGATCGGGGGTTGCCGTTTGGCTACCTATGATGAAACCGAAATACCCCTCGACTCCATCCACATCTGTCACTCGCCTCAGTATCACGCAACCCCGCTTTCACCCTGTCCTTCTCCACCTGCTCTCTCCATCCCAATCGCGGACGACCCCTTCCTACCACTCCTTCAACCTCGAACTCCAACGCTCCCCTAATCCCGACCCTTTCATCCCTTCTCAACACATGTCCATACCACCGCAATCTCGATCTCCTTATCAATGTCACAATGTCCTCATTCAGTCCCATCATTGACATCAGCTCTGTACTACTCCTGCTATCCTTCACTTTAACCCCACACATCATCCTCACCATAGCTCTTTCAGCCCTCTGCAGTACACTTTCCTCCTCTCTCCTCAACACCCAAGTTTCACCACCATATATCATCGCTGCTCTCATACATGCTTTATATACCCTCCCTTTCATCTTCACTGACCATTTCTTTCCACACAATACCCCACCCAGTTCCCTAAATTTCATCCATCCCACACGAACTCTAGCCGTAACTGCGCTCTAACATCCTCCATCCGCATTCAGCTTATCCCCTAAGTAAACAAAGCTTTCCACTCTGTCAATACCGTCACTCAACCCCGTCCTTGCGTCCGTCCTATTAATCACACCATGAACACATTTCTTACATTTGAACGTGCCTTCCACCTTTTTCAGTGCCCCCCTCACACCACTACATCTCTTATGCACCCATTTCTGACATCCTATACACAATACCGAGTTAGCCTTCACTCTCCTATCACATACCCCACAGGGGTCTATTTTACTTATCACTCGTTCCCCACCTTCCCCACTCACCATTACCTTCGTCTTACCAATATTAACTTTTAACCCTTTCTTTTCAATAACACTTTTCCATCTGTCAAATTTTAACTGCAATTCTTCCATGCTATCAGCCATCAAGACTAAATCATCTGCATACAAAATCTCAAATAACAACCCCTCCATTATGTTTCCACACACAACATCCATCACAATTGCAAACAGAAACGGTGATAACACTGATCCTTGATGCATTCCTACCTTAACACTAAAAGCGTCCGACATCCCCCTTCCAATCCTCACCTTTGTCTTTGCCCCTTCATACAGCTGCATCACAGCTTTAACAAGTCTCTCATTCACTCCTTTCTTCCTCAACGCCCATTCAATGACCTTCCTCGGTACTCGATCAAAAGCCTTTTCTAGATCCACAAAACACATGTACAATCTTCGTTTCTTCTTTCTATAATTCTCCTGCAACATTCTCGCCATGAACAACGCATCCACCGTTCCCCTACCAGGCATAAACCCACACTGCATTTCATTAACTGTCACCATACTTTTCAACCTCCTCTCAAGCACCCTCTCCACTACCTTCATTCCGTGCTCTAGTAATTTCACACCCCTGTATGACCCACAATCTCTCACATCTCCTTTGCCCTTATACAACGGCACCAACACACTGTGTAGCCAATCCTCAGGTATACCTTCATCATCAAACATACTGTTAGCAATTCTCATCATAACTTCAATTCCTATCACCCCACTCGCTTTAATATGTTCAGCCGCCACTTCCGAAACCCCTGTCGCCTTACCTAGTTTCATTTCTCTAACTGCTTTCTCTACTTCCTCCCTCGTCACCTTCTCTATAGGTCCGTGTGTGACCGCGGATTCCACATCTCCATCCCACTCATTCTCTTCATTCATCAACCTTTCCATATGAGCTTTCCACACCTGAGCTTTTTCCTCCTCATCTATGCACAACTTGCCAGATCCATCCCAAACACATCCATTCCCTATAACATCTTTCCTATCCCTCATTGACTGCTTTGCTACTTTGAACATTTTCCTCGAACTCACATCAGATTCCATTTCCTTCATTAACCTATCTGATGCTTTCGTCATTGCAGTTGCCACTGCCTGTTTTGCAACCTTCTTAGCCTTCCTATACTCAGACTCCGCTTCCTCCGTCATGTCCCTTCTCCATACCCTAAACCTCTCCTTCTTGACTTCCAAAACCCTTCTTATATCTTCATCCCACCACCACGTCTCACCATGCCTACACTTTCCTTTCGTCCATCCACATACTTTATCTGCCGTAGCCAACACAGTCCCTGTATCTCTCCCAAACATCTCCATCCTTACCACTCTCCCAATTTTCAGCCACCTTCACTTCAAATGCCTTCCTCACCTCTGCATCCTGCAACTTCCATGTCTTTCTCTTTGCCACAAACTAATCCTTCTTCCTCCTCCCCATTTCTTTTGATGTCACATCCATCACAACCATACTATGCTGCAACATACCAGGTATCGCCTTCACATTCTTCACATACTTCCTATGTTTGGCCCTTACCAATATATAGTCGATCATCGATCTATGTTCCCCTGACCTATAAGTAATCAATCGCGCTGGTTCCCTTGTGAACCAAGTGTTCCCCACCACCATGCTGTGTGCATCCGCTAACTCCAACACTCTACGCCCTTCCTCATTCCGTATACCATA